ATAAACTTATAGTACAAGTTATAGTACTTTCATGCCCAAAATAAATGTTTCGGAATTAACGAAATTTGTGAAAAGAGATATATTACTTTAAAGGTTAGAAAATTACATCAATATTCGTGTAAAATGACTGTAGTTATAATTAACGAACATTCGTGTATACAGTGTTTCTTCTTTTTTATAATTTTTTTCAGTGAAAAATGAATATTCTTGTAGTTCAACTCACCTCCCTTGTAGTTCAATTTATCGAAAGGATCAGGTCCAGTGGCCTTGAGATCCCTTTCTTGAAGAGGCTCTATACTTTCTTGACTGTCTCTGTCGGGGCTGTTATCTTCTTCTACCTTTTGCTCTTGCCTCTTAGTCCCGGCTGATCTCGACGAGGCTATCTCCTCGTAGGTCATACCCGGTGGATATTTCCTCATGCATCTCGACATGTTCACGCTACCCTGGCGCTCCAATTTGTGCCTGGCGATCGCTTCGTAATCTTCGTAAGTCAATCCTGTTCCAAATCTACGCGCAAAGCCACAAAAATTATGAAACTTCGAGGGATATCTTTCTATTTGGAAATATTATCGGCGATCGAAATGGACAGTTTGTATTTTTTTGGTTTTATAAAAATTTTATAGATTCATTCGACGATACATTTTTGGAAATCTCAATAGTTTTTCGTGAAACTTTTTCCCATGTTTTTCGCACTTCAATTTACAGTTGTAAGATAACAATTTTTCATGGAAATTTTATAGATCTAGAAAGATGTATTTTTTTTTAAATTTCAAGGATTTTTCGTGAATAAAACGTGAATAAAAGCTGGTGTTTCTTTGTTACATTTTCCCCTATTCTTTGTACTTTCATTTCTCTTTATAAGATTATTTTCTTATACTTCAGTTGTCGCGATAGTTCTAGCGTTAAAAGATATCAAAAGGATTTCCTAAGAATACCAAGGGAAGTTTCCACGGTATCCGCATCTGTATTACTCGAGTAACTAAAGTAAGAGAAATTTGAAATGTGCAAAGTATAAAATTATACATTAAATTCATAACGGTCATGTATTTATTTTAGATTAATTTTCTTAATTGCATGTAAGTAACTATAACCACAACTACGATATACAGTAGTGGATCTCACATTTATTTCCATCTTCATGCTTCAATTCTAATGTAATTTTAGACAATACGCTCTAAATTATTTTATCCTACACTCATCCTACTTTGACTTTACACACAGTCAACATTAATAGAGCAGAGACAAGCCTTAGATGGTGTCCAATTACTGTTCTCACCTCTAACACGCTTTATTCTCGCTACTTAGGAAAAGATTCGCGAGGCAGGAGCTTACCTTGGGAGCCTTAATTTCCTCCTAGCCAACTGTTCTTCCGGCTTGGCAGTCTGAGGTGGTGCTTGTGGCGAAGAGGGTGGCGTCGACGGCGTCGTGGTCAATTCACTTTCTTCTAAACTGCTACTTAGAACGGATCCTATTCTGCTACCCAAACCCTGAAGATACTCTCCGCTACCCCCTAACGCAGACTTGACAGACCTGAGTGCGCCTCTGGTGCGTCCAATTAGGGACGCTCCACCGGCGGATGGCATGGCCGTGGTTACATCCATCATCTTCTGCAGCAGACACGTAACAACAAGTCTCGTAAGTTTGATGATTTGACATTACACTTCGTGAAAGTTGCAACTGTTCAAAGCTTCTACCAACGAGCCTAACGATGGACGCTACTAACGATCGACTCTTCTCTCTTCTCGGTGAATTTCTCACAAGCTTAATTCGAATCGAACTAATATCTGCAGCGAATTAATGTCAAATTTCAAACGTCCAATTCTTGGAGAATTGTCGAAATTTTAGAATTGATTTGTTAATGAAAATATAGACGTGAAGTAATAGTCTTGTAAGTATTTATAACTATAAGATTTATAATTATAACTTATTAGACTTTTTGTGAAATTGCAGTTATTCAGCTTTCGCCGACTTCTTATTTTGATGTTTGTCATCCATAGCTCTTATTTTCTGAAGCGAATCCTTCGTATTTTTCAAATTCTTAAATGTTTACAAATCACGAATCTTACGAATTCGAATTGATCGGACAAAAGGCAATAGCTATTTGCAGTGAATTAATATTGAATTCAGCCTGGAACAATTTCTGGAAAGTTGCGGGAATTTTAGAACCGACTTGAAAATAAAATTGTTAAGGAAAAATACACAACGAAGTCAGAGTTACACTCTTACATTTTGCTGTAGATACGTACAACAGTTTCGTAAATATTTAACATTGGACTTCGTGAAAGTTACAGCCTCTCTGCTTCTACCAACAAGTCTAACAGTGGAAGCTTCTGACGTCAACATCGTTGATTCTTTATTCTGTTTTGCTCTACGTTAAATTTCTGAAAGCGTTTCTTTGTTGAAACTTCGTAAAAATATTTGAATAGAGATATCAATCTTTCTGTATAATTTCGCAGTAATTTAAACCGACATCGATTGCGATAATCACGAATAGAATGTAGCCAAAATTGACAAAATAATATTTGTGACAAATAATGAAAATAAGAAGTTACAACAGTCACTATCTTTTCTTAGTCAATACGAGAGGGCAATTTTAGTGATTTAAAAAGAGAATATCTATTTAAAGAGCTATTTTTCCTAATATAAAATTTACTAATTACTTATAATAATTAGTACATAGTAATTTCATTACAATTTCGATTGCATCAATATATAACATACTATACATATA